AATATTGGGTGGTGCACAAACAAGCACAACACACAGACACACACTTAGAATAGAACTCAAATGCGCACAAGTTCAGGTAAGGATCTGCATTAGCACTTTACGATACCGCATTAAACGACAAACACGTAGGACTACACGTAGGCATTGGTCTGTGCAAAAGGAAAGGCTTAAGGTCTGAAACAGTAGGTTAACACCATCAAATGAACATTTGTGGGTACAGTACACACTGGTGTTCAATCCATAGCTTCGTTGCACTGAGTTTGCCAAGGAGTGCTCAGGTCCCGCCTACATGAAGGGCAGAAACCAAATTAAGAGCGAACAAACAATTAGAGACAGGGGTTGACACATGTTGACGCACACACACTCTCTCTGAGGCGGTCCGGACCTCCTAAGCCCCTGGCCTAGCCCAGGGTCTGCAAAACATATCCCACTGGCGATCGTGTACAATCAGGTAGCTCCGTTGGACATAGTCCCTGATCATATGCCATGCCCCTGTGCTGACCCGCACCTAAATCAACGCAACTGAACTGCCATGAAAGGAATGGATTAAACGACTACATCTCGATCCGTCAGGACAATACATAGTCAAACCTGCATGCACCAGCATGATGCGCACACACACACAGCGTGTGAAGTCTTACTCTTGATATCACCCAAGCTGTAGTTATGTTGTTTGCAACTCTAGTGCTGAGCCTCCTCTCTGAGGTGTGTACTATAATATACTATAACTATCTATAACCGATAACCCTCTGTTTTGGTTTCCGCTCGTTCCCCTTGCAAGTGTCAGGAATGCAATCAGAATAACAAATGAATACCAAGCTTGCAGTTTCCATCTTCCACGATACAACTGACTCTCGGAATCATATCACGCACCCAGCTGCGCTCCTCCTCATCATCGGGAGCGATTGGCCTTGTCATGCCTATCATTTGATGTGTCACCCCTGTGCATCCTAGGGATGTTGAGAAATCAAAGCAATGACCCGTCACTCAGTATAGTATTGATTACAACTTTGATTGCAGTAGTGTTGCCATGCTGTTTTGAGCCGAACAGCTCTGGGCGTGGCTGTACGTGGAGCAACCGAAGAAATCTACAGTAATTGGCAGACAGTTTATAAATCCTCCGCCATCACAGGAACGACTGCTCAAAGACGAGATGTCTAAGGTTCGCTCGGCTGGTCCCTCGAGACAGTCGGCAGAACATGAGGCCGATCATGATGGCATTTTGTATCTGAAAACACCCAGCACCGATGCGCGCAAGGCCAAATGAACATGGAAAGGACTCATCAGGAGTCAAACAGTGAATCTCAAATTTACGGGACGTTTGGCTGATGGTGCATAGATGTCCGTGCCTGCATCACGAGCGTATGCAAGTAAATGATGAAAATACCCGTCACACATCCGCCCCTGGCGCATCACCCACCTACACCCCTTCACGACTGTGTCCATTTGTCAGGCCTGGCCCCAGCAGCTTTGAGGTAAGGTGACCTGGGTTGGCTCAGAGTAGGGGGTCTAATGATTCGCACTGAGCATAGAAGCATGTAGAACACGTGACACGGTCCAAAGTTAAAATCACCTCACCAAACGTACACAGCAAAGTAACGAAATTGGAGAGTGCATTTACCACCATCATCATAGTCTAGCCCAGGAACATGCACAAATATATATATATATGTTTTACTAAATCATGTGTTTGTTGTAACATATTGTGTTATATATATAATATGACGCTACATTACATTAATAGATATTAATAGCTTAGCTAAGACAGGAAGAAACAAAAGCCAGGACAAGTTTTCGACACAGTTGTGCATGCCCCTCTTTCAATAGGGATGCTGTAAATCCCGCCAAACCTTCTCCGCCTGGCTCTCGCAAAAGAACTATCGATAGTACCATTGATTCGCTCAAGCGAAAGAACCCGAAAGGACCAGTGCATTAGAGACAAATTGTGTGGAAGGGTGCCAATGCATGACCTTGACTTGTGCCAAGAAATCTGTGGCGGCCGGTTGGTGGATTTGATTTACGACGTGGCGTCTCGTCACATGTAAGACATACCGGTGATAATATGGACTGAAATGTGAAGTCAGCTGTGATTTGAGATGTGGTGAGTGTGATGCGGTGAATTGCGATGTTGTGATGTGGGATGAATTGTGATGTGGTGAAGTGTCGTGTTGTGCAATGATTTGCGGTATGGTGGTGCACATTTCGCTCGCAATCGCTACTGGACCAAGTTTTCTAGAAATATATTCTTTTTTCTGACCTTTTCTGCAACTGCTTTCAGAAACCTCTACTGCTGGAGGGTCTTCTCTTAATTGAGCCACACAGCCCTGATAGTGACACAAACTACGCAAACGCCGCATTTACTCACTGCTTCTTTTTATTCTAGCGTCTCCCTGACGCACATCGCGCCACGCACCTATTCATCCAAGAATATTCTAGTCGTATAGTGGTTTCGGAGTAGATGGCGCAAACCACAAAATGTCCTTAATACAGCTGTCCATTTTCCCCACCTTTTGGGGATTGTGCCATCTACTCTGAAACCACTGTAATTAGCAAGGTAACCAAAGTCGGACTCGGAACTTTCTCACTTCCTTTGACAATTCCAGACTTTCCTTTGTTCCATGACCATCGCCATGACGTGAAAGTGGTGCAATAAACTGGCTTATGTATGCATATGCCAACTCCCAATTATCGGCCGATTTGGATCTCCTTGTGCAGGACATTTCACTTAAGAGTTTCATGCAGTTGCAAGAAACTACAAGCACTGCTTTCCCTGTAGCAATATAACAAACTCAAATTGTCCAAATGCGCGATCACCCTGTGGCGACTGAAATTGCATGGAATTGCCAGCTTGCTTGCGTTCAACACTTATGGAAGTCAGAGGGCAACACCCAGGCAACCCCCATCCAATGGTCGTGCCAACCTGCGCCAGCTAGAACGAACTTCGCGGACTTTATTTGTCAATCTTTGTAAGAGCAAACTGCTGCACTTAAAATACGCTGCCTCCAGGCTCAAATACATTGCATCAAGCAATGACTCGATCCTCAAACTGACATTCTGGATATCTAGAAAACATGGATCAGATTTGTGGCAAGCTGCTGCAGTTGGCAGGAAGCATCAATCATATAGTAGATCCTCAAACATTTGTACAAACGCTGCGCATCACACAGCATGTCCAAGGCTTGAGAGCACGGCAGTGAAAACACCAAATGAGTGAAGAGGTAACTGGCCTTGGAGCAGAAACCGCTCCCCTCCTCCCACGCATCCCAGTGCATCCCAGTAGCACAAAAGAAAGCGATGATCTTGATGGTGCTGTGGTGTATGACCTGCTCACAACAGCACTACATCAGGGTGAAGTGGCTGCCCTTATCCGTCGCAGTGTCGCTGGCTATGTCCAAGCATCATGGGCAACATACAGCGCTGTCCGGTTCCACAATCAAGCCAGCTGAGCCGAGTGGAAAGGATCTGCCCAAAACGATGACCACCTGCGACCAAGCAGGCCCTCTACACCTCTCGACTGTAGCTCTTGCAGCGGCATTGCTCATTTGTTGCCAACGCTTGCCCAGGGTCCGCAACGTTCAACTCACACTAAGACTCGAACCCTGAAGTTCGTGCGTGCAGCCGCCGCAAAAGGATGCGTCCTTTGAGGGATGAACTATCCCGGGAAGAGACCCCAAACAGCATGAAGTAGAAGAACACAATGGTGAATAAGCAAACATCCGCACTCTAGAGCACACACATGAGAGCATACACAAGTCAAACACTCCGAGGGGACGCAACGAGAGCACAGGTATGAAAACCATAAATTAAATATGAGTCATATATGAGAGGGCAAAGTGCACATACGAGCACCATGTGGGAGCACACATAGATAATACAATATGCATATAATATACTAATAAATATATATATATGTGTGCGTTTTTCTTTGATTTTCTTTGCACTTCGACGTTCACAAAGCCGTGCATGTGCCACGGCATCTGCACTTTGAGGCTTGCAAACTGCTGCAACTGCTAGGTATTCTGCGCGTCGAGGTTCACAAAGCGCTGCACCTGCTTCAGAATCAGGGCACGCCGGGGCACGCCAAAGACCACCAAGAAGTGCAAAGTACTGTGCTTGCCGCGAAACCTGCACCTCGAACTAAAACCGCTCCGACTCCAATCTAGGGCACCTGCCACGAAAAGTCGACTGCAAACCTGACCACCCAGTTCATAAAGGTGCACGGCACCACAACGAGAGCGCACTCGAGGAAAGCACTCTCTCACAGCGGTATGTTTGCGCATGCTTGTAGGAGCGTGCGCAGTCGAAATGCACTTCAAGATCTCGAGACGAATTACCCGCCCATGGACAGATGTGAGCCTTCACTATTCGCGGAGGAACTAGCCTAGTGAGTCCACAATATTTGTGGAACAGTGTCTACTGTAAATTCCTGTGCACCTTTATGTGCCATTGCAATCCATTGCAAGTCTGCAGCTGGTCATGCTGGTCCTCTGCTCCTCTAGCTGATAGCACCATCACAACTCAATAGCTTTCAATTTAACAAAGCAAAGTATGTCCATTGCTGAGCGCATTTTGTGTCCTGTGCTTTGACGCGAAGTATGGTCGCGCTCAATGAAGCGTACCTGGACTATGGGATCCTTTCTGAGGTAACAAGCGGCGACATGGAGAACGCGGCGGGCCTGGTTGGGATGAACGTCCGATGGCTCAACCATCTCCATCCACTGCTGCTAGGGCGAATCTTGTGGCGGCAAACAACCTAATAGCGATGGCCTCCAAACTGCTAGCGACCAAGGTTGAAACCCATTTACTATTCCATATTCATATGTAGATCATATGGTCATAGAGGCGGCCAAGGTTGCAAGCTTGAGACGCTGCATCACAACAACTCATCCTTACTTGGCCCGACCCAAGCCTGTGTTCTTTGCACAGAGCTGGGCATGAGCCGAAAACAAAAAAACGCTTGGTATTACCTTGGTATCTTGGAAATTGCAAACTTATCAAACCTCTTCCCGCAGAGCTAGTTGGCACTTTTGCGTCTAATCAAAAGGCGTTGAGGAAACTTGCGGCTCTGACTGCACAGGCCAACCTGTCGAGACGTAGCAGTAGCTTTTTTGGGACCCAAAATCATCTGTTCAACCTTGCTCTCATGTCCCATGCTACTTCTATGATCTTCTATGTATATAGCTCTCATCCTCCGTCTCTCTTAGGCATGGTTCATGGCGCAATAGGGTCACATCCGCACTACAATTACATGATCGCTGGTCTGAGATGAATGGCCTGTGAAGACTGCCGGTGGTGATGAATCTCGTCCGAGATCGTTGAGCTTAGGTGTGCCTTTGTCACCCAGCACGAGTGGGGAACCTGCATCAGCTCAGCAGTGAGAGGGAAGAGGGGAAGGCATCGAAAGGCTTTATTGCCCTGCTCCCTGCCTGGTTTAGGAGATCTCAAGGATGTAGATGGAGCAGTGAACGGAGACTCTGGATGGTCCTGAAAAGGGACATTTCTCCCAGCCACAGTTGCAAAGAGTCGGGTTCTCCTCTAAGTCTATGCTATCATCATCCAAATTGAGTTCAGAGAGGCTGAATGGGCGCATCCTCACAAAACATGTCGAAACTTGCCGCTGTTTCTCACGTTGACCATGTGCTGCGCCAAATGCAAGCATCAATTTGAAACCATTAAAAGCTGCAAAGTATCCTTGATAACTTCAAAGTCTCCAATGCTCAGGCCGGCAATTCTGGAATGCCCCGACCTCCTTCTGAGTGCTCCACAGAGAGTCGCAGCTTAGAGACCTGCAAACCAACACTTGGGTTCCTCATGATGCAAAATGCACAGCCCCCAAGTTACCAAACACAGAAACAAATGGCACAGTGTGGTGCTGCGACTGTAGTGACTTGTGGCACTCACCACGAAAGGCATTTTGCCGCAATCTCAACTAAAACACACACACACACACACTAGGTCGACACACTTCGACCCATGTTCGACAGAGCTCTATCAATTTTGAAATGCAATTTAGAGCTTAACTGAATTACAAAAAACAATGCATGAGGCAACTGGAGTTTTACTTAGAGTTCTAGCTTGCAACAAGGACTCATTGGCACTGTAGTTGCGCACTAGCCCTCTACAATCCAGTTACTGCATTGGCCCTCTTTACACTCGAGTTACTGCCAGAAACACCGAATTGGACAACTTGAGCATTACGTAGACTCCTTTGAAACATGTTGCAACATGTTAAAACTTGATGCAGGTACGTCCAGCTGGCCAAGCTGGATATCCCAATTTCACTGGTAGCTTCATTGGACACAGTCCCAGTGAAATGCTGTGTCGCCCTGCAGGTCTGGCAACCTAATTTAGAAGGCCATGGCACACATGTAGCCGAATCGGCGCTCCCTTGACTGAAAAAGTTCACCTGACACCTAAAAAGCCTCTAGCAAAGAACGAACACCTGCAAACAAAGGAAAGAGCCCTGGAAAGAGAGAAAGCAAAACGAGATAAAACGAACATGATTTACGCAGGGTGTAACTTGCAAGTGAATACTTAGCACTTGACGAAAAAATTAACCTGAAACCTCAAAAAGCAGCTAGCAACGGACGAAAACCTAGAAAGAACTGAAAGGACCCTGGAAGGAGAGAAAGCAAGACCGTGCATGAATTACTCAGGGTGAAATTTACACAAGGGACTGTGCTAAACGCGCCCAAACCTGGGGTCACACAAGTGGGACCCTGTTGCGACTTAACTGAATTACAACCAAACACCGCATGAAACAAACAGCTTGGGTTTTACGTTGTTGTAAGTTTTTACTGCAGGTAGACCTGGACTGAGTTACAGCGAAACAACGCATGAGGAAGCTTGAGTTTTACTTAGAGTTCTAGCTTGCAACAAGGGGTGGTGAACATCTTGGGTGAAATGAATGGGTTCCATCTCCACGTCCACTAGGTGTGTATGGGTTCCCTGCACACTCTTGGTGGACATGAATGGGTTCGGTCTCCACGTCACTCGGTGTGTGGATTCACTCACTCATTAGCACTTTACTTGCGCACTAGCCCTCTACAATCTAGTTACTGCGCTAGCCCTTTACATTCTAGTTACTGGCAGAAACACTTGATGCATGTACGTCCAGCTGGCCAAGCTGCATATCCCGTTTCACTGGTAGCTTCATCGGACACAGTCCCAGTGAAATGCTGTGTCCCCCGCAGCTCTGTACAAAAGTTAAATAGGGAAATCTAATTTAGAAGGTTGTGGTCGTTGTCCTTTGGGACAGGAGGCGACACACACACAAAGCCCTGCCATCTGACCTTGCCTGGAGCCGAAGTTGTTCAGCGCCACGTTGCAGCTCCTTCGCAGCCTCTGCCCATGCCCCAGCGCTACTCTTCAAACATCGGGCCAGCAGCCTGAGATGCGGTTCACATCTAGGTACAGTGCCAAACCCGCAAGTAGTAGTGAGTGTAAGAAGCATAGTCAATATACAATCAACTTACTGTATGTGATTTAAGTCCAGTGACCAGGGCCTAGGACATTTGATTTTACTAGGAACTTGTTGCAACTACTCCAGCGACCCCCTGCCTGCTCCGCACGAAGTCAATGCATGACTGGAGAAGGCTCACGTCTTTGGAGGCCTTTTCTCGCAGCACCCGAGCTTCGTTGGCGTCTTCAGTGCCTCGCAAGGACCAAAAACACGGATATGGCGTTCGTACTCGCTGCAATTTCACAACTCATCAAATCTGGGGAATAACTTGGATTGATTGAACGCATTGGTGTTGCGGGGTAGCGACTTCCAAGCCAACTGTAGGAGTGCACCAATCTGCAGTCTATGTCTATGATCAATTGAGATTGAGTGTAGCACGCATGGCAAGCTCTTCAATTGAGGCTGTTTGCACTGTCGCCGCCTGGCATTGTGGCATCTTTTAACTGCTCCTGTGTGCACATCTGAGGCTTATCTGCTTTAGTCTTTGTTTAGTGACTTTAGTGCTCTCAAGTAGCTCCGACTGTTCAAGCAAACACCGAAGTGTGAAATTAACGGCGGCACTGTTCAATTGAGCCTTTTGAACTTTCTGCTCTGCAGCAGCCATATCCTTCTCATCGCTTCGCGCAAAGCGGGCCAGCCCTTTCTTCTTCTCCCCAGCTTTCTTTTCTGTCTTCTCCTGGAGATCAAATAATAATATAAAAATTCCTAAATACATATATAAAATGTATTTCCCGCTAAAGCAGTAGTGGTAGTTGAAGTAGAAGTAGTAGTAGTTGAAGTGGAAGTAGTAGTAGTAGTAGTAGTAGTAGTTGAAGAAGAAGTAGTAGAAACAGAAGCAGGAGCAGAAGCAGCAGTAGCAGTAGCAGTAGCAGTAGCAGTAGTAGTAGTAGTAGTAGTGGTAGTGGTAGTGGTAGTGGTAGTGGTAGTAGTAGGCGGAGAAGCAGTAGTAGTACTCGTAGTCGTAGTCGTAGTAGTCGTAGTACCCAATAGCTTCGGTTAGCCAGATTTCTAACTATTAGGTTGTATAGACTATTTGGTAAGAAAACAGACTAAATAGTTTAAACGTGTTTTGACTAATAGGTTTATAGCTCTTTCTGACTATTAGTTTGTTTAATGGAACAACCTGAAAAGTACACCTAGTAAGCACATAAAAAGTTTTGGCAAAACAAATGTCAAGCAAAAAATGTAACAACATTTTTGTTCTTGTACAATTGTTTGGCTACTATTCTCTGTTCTGAAAATGATTCTTCTAGTCTACAGGAGGAAAACTGAAGCCCATGCCAAAGTGAGCCTGTGTAGATAGAAGGTGAGCCTAATGTCAAAGTGAATCTTGAATGATTGTCTTCCCAAATGGATCATCCTTTGCCATGGCTGCAGACAAAGGGCTCTGAGGCAAAAACCTAGAAGTCAGTCGAGCTGGTGGAGGGGACAAAAAACTTTCAGGTTCAAAGGCTGGCTTCAAGCCAGGCGTTGAACCTTGTAGACATTTGAAAGGTTCATAGTGACGAAATGCGACACACATTGTGGCATTGTCATGTGACATTGGAAAGAACCATGTGCTGGAAGCAGTGCTGAAAATTAACGCACATGAACATCTTCCAAAAGTCCAAAAGTGAACATATGCAAAAAGAAACCTTGCGTTTGCACAGTGCCAATGTGTTTGTCACATTCCTTTTTTCAATCACCAAAGAAGGTGTTGGAATATCAAGTGATCCTTAAAACTCAAATGAAACTCTCATTAAACATCGCAATGTGAATCTTCCAAGTGAATCTGGATTTAATTCTTTACCTCCATAGACTTTGCGCATTTTTGGTGAATGCTTTATCTCAACCTTTTTTGGAACCTTCCTTCCAAGACAAAAGCCTGGGCTTTCCAAACCCAGGGAGTAAATCAATAGATTGTTCATCATAAGCTGTTGCAATAGATAGTTTCAGTGTAAGTTTGCACCAAACCTACACTAAACTTACACTATGGAGTGTAAGTTTTAGTGTAAGTTTACATCAAACTTACACCAAACTTACACTCCAGTTCATTGATTTTAGGTATGTTTTGATGACTATCATTGTGAATTTTGTATTTTTGTATTTGATTTGCAACATTTTTGTTGCATTTATGTGCAGTTTCATCGTTCTTTGACTTATCTCCTTTGCACATGGATCATCTCCTTCAGCAAGAGGTGCACTCTTCCAGTCAACTCTCTTGCAAGACTTGGAGGGCCCCAACACAGCCAACAAATCTTTTGTGGGCTGTGTCTTCAAGAAGTTGACAAAGACTGCTTGCAGCTCTCGGACCCCAACATTGGGATCAGCCACCAGTCTTTTCTGAGACACCTTGGGCCACAACACACTGGGTCAAACACATTGGAGGTGTGAAGGTCTTGTGCGCATGTGCGAACTTGCCTTTTCCGAAGTGAACAGCATCATTGCTGATGAACTACAGTGGTTCATTTACTATGAATCTTTTTGGGTGTGATTCTGTCTTTGTTGAATGAAAGCCTTGGCTGAACCTTTGAAGTGAATCTTTACTCTGATTCTTTTGTGGAATGAACCTGCCTTTGTTCTGAGTGAAAGACTAAGGTGAATCTTTTTTCTGACTGAAGCACCTCTGGCTCTGATTTTGTTTTAAAGTGAATCTGTGTGCTCCCACCCACAGTCTAAGGTGAATCAAGGTGAATCCTGTATCCAGATCTTTTTTGAGAAGTGAACCTGGCTGCTCTGAGTAAAAGCACGAGGTGAATATTTAAGGTGAATATGTTATTCTGGTCAACTTGTTGAGGTGAATTTGTGTTTGTGTGTCAGGAAAATCATAAGTGAATCTTTTAGGGTGATACCTTATGTGAAGAGTGTCGTGCTTTTGGCAAGAGCATTTTGAACAAAATAGGATCAAAAATCATTTGAAGAAAACACAAACCTTTTAGGTTAATCAATTGAACAACCTTACATTTTTAGCTTATTTGACCTTCCAAACTATTAGTTAAAACCATTGTTCTGACTAATAGTTTAATCATCTGTTTTAACTAATAGTTAAGAAACAGTATATAGACTAATAGTTAGAAATCTGCCTAACCGAAGCTATTGGGTAGTCGTCGTCGTAGTAGTAGTAGTAGTAGGAGTAGGAGTAGTACGTAGTAGTAGGTAGTAGTAGGCAGGTAGTTGGTAGTTCGTAGTTAGTAGTTAGTAGCTGGTAGTTGGTAGTTAGTAGCTGTAGTCGTCGTCGTCGTCGTCGTCGTCGTACTAGTAGCAGTAGCAGTAGCAGTAGCAGTAGCAGCAGCAGTAGTAGTAGTAGTAGTAGTAGTAAGAAGTAGTAGTAGTGGTAGTAGTAGTCGTGGTGGTAGTAGTAAGTAGTAATAAGTAGTAATAAGTAGTAGTAAGTCGTAGTAAGTAGTAGTGGTGGTAGTAGTAGTGGTAGTGGTGGTAGTAGTAGTAGTAGTAGTGGTAGTAGTAGTAGTACAACAAGTAGCAGTAGTACTAGTAGATACCCGAGAGGAGGGAGACACGAAAGGTAGGACAGCGGGAAGAGAAGAGAACGCGAGAGGCAGGAACAAAAACGCAATGTTCGACATGGTGATTTATCCCCTCGGAGGCGACCTTTCGTAAATATATGATGCACTCTAAATGTTCAAACATATGCTCTCAAAAAGATTCTTAGGAAAACGTAGGAAAACAAACTTGCCCCATGGCTCAGATCATCGGTGAGCATTGAATCGGAACATCATAGGATTTGAACTATCCTGAAACCATAAGAGGCTCACGAAAGCGCTCCCCAGGAGAGAAATGACGTGCTTCACAAAACAAACTCTAGGTATGTATCCCCTCGGGGAACACCTTTCGTGATTAGAATTTCACATTCACTCTTTCTGAATGTTCAAGAGGGTTTCAACTATCCTGAAATTAAGGCTCACGAAGACGTTCTCCAGGAGAGAATTGATTTTAGAGGGGGAGGGGGGGGGGTCTGTATTGAAAAATCAATTCCAAGGGGGCGGGGGGTCAGGGGTAAGTTCCCCCAGAAGTGGCAGTTGGAATAGCTGGACCTGATCGAAACACCAAGCAGTCAAACACAAGCGGTCGGTGTGCGAGCTGCGGCGAAGCACACCTTTTCTATGGCAGTGACTGCAGTATTGGGCTGCTGAGTCTTGAGCCAAATGAATTATGTTGAAAGCGGACTCAAGAGCTACAGATAGATGTATGTACAAGAACAGGTGCTACACACGTATAGCGTAGACACGCCCAGGGGGACCTAGGACACTACTAAACACAAAACAGACACAAATTTTCTTCGTGTCGAAGCTTACGATCTCTAAAGTACAAAAGGTTCGCAAAACGTTGCAAATGAATTCGAAAAGTTCTGACTTCGCAGAACTCAACCGTAGATGCCATTCTGGCTCGTCTAGATTGCGTCACATAATCTTTACAAATCTACGAAAGGCATATTTGCTGTATCGAACGTTCCGGAATGTCGGAAATCTTCTCTTTCAAGTCAAATCATCAAATTGAAGTCTAATCTATAAGGCCTTAAGAGAGCCGTCTGGGCATACCAAATCACCTAGGACCCCTGGGGGCCAACCCCATTTTAGCCTCCAAAGTGCTAATGAAATGGGGGGTGCCAAGATTTCAATATTTTCGCATCGTTTTCCATTTCCTGGGTAAATTGAGAGGTGCCAACAATTTCAGACTCTAGAAATCTCTGTATCGAGATTCAGCTCGCACACCTGATTTGCCAGGCCTGGTCCACTCTCAATCTGCTGCAATGTCAGCCCCCTAGATTTTATTTTTGCGCCTGCTTCTGACTCTTCTGATTTGTCATTGTCTGGTGCGACTCTGTACGTGAGAGGATTAGTTGCAGTCTCCATACGACTTGCAAGTGAAAAGTTAGTAGAAAACTTGGAGTTGGCCCTTACCATTCTTTTCATGTGTCAGTATTTGTCCTCTGTCACCTTTGAGTTATGTTGGAATGATGCAAGAAGATTATTTTCCAGGATGCTGACCTGTTTTTCTGCACACCTGTTTGCTTGTTGGCCCTTGCCAATTTAGCCAGTGGTCTTTGTCACCCTTGTACCCCTTTGTAGTCCATTGTCCAGGGGATTGCCCCATGGATGTAAACATGTTTGCCTTGCAAC